CATGAGGTCCTGCACTACATGTGCAAGAGCCAAAACACCCAGACACTGACCATACAGCACCCTGAAACAACTACCAATACTGGAAAAGCCATGGAATTCCATCTCTATGGATTTCATTGAGCACCTACTGGTGTCCAGTGTTCATGGACCAACTATCCAAGCAGGCTATATTCATACCCACCTATAACACTATTACCTCCCCCAAGCTTGCTAAGCTCTTCCTACTCCATGTCTTCTTGAAGCATGGTGTCACAGCACACATAACCTCCAACTGAGGCTCTGAGTTTGTCTCACATTTCTTCCAGTCCTTGGGTTAAGTGCTGGATATGTGCCTACACTTCACTTCCAGATACCACCTGGAAGGAGATGGCCAGACTGAGTGGGCAAACCAGACCTTGGAATAGTACCTCTGGGTATATTGCAACTACCAACAGGACAACTGGGCCAAGTTGCTTCCATTGGCTGAGTTTGCCTACAACAATGCCCTGAGTGCTACCACTGGTGTTTCCCCTTTCTTTGCCAACAAGGGTTACCACCCTAACCTCTCAGTCTTCCCCAAGAGGGACTTATCCTTGGCATGGGCTAGGGACTATGCCATGGACCTAGACAAACTACACCAGTTCCTATGAGAAGAGATGGCACTGGCCCAAGCTAGATACCAAAGTCTGGCAGATGCAAAAAGGCTACTGGCACCCAAGATCAACCTCAGTGACCAGGTCTACATCAAAGCCAAGTACTTCTGGACCACAGGACCATCACAGAAACTCACAGACAAGAACCTAGGCCTCTACTTGGTAATAGCCCAGCCCAGCACTCACTCATTCACCCTTCACCTCCTGGACTCCATGCACACAGTACACCCAGTGTTCCACATGTCACAATTAGAACCAGCACACCCCAATATCATCCTGAACCAAACCCAGCCACCACCATCTCCAGTCAAGGTGGACAGTGAACCAGAGTATGAGATCACTGAGATCCTTGACTCAAAGATAGACTGGTGATGGAGGTGTAAGCTACAGCACCTGGTATGCTGGGCTGGCTATGAGGGTACTGATGAAGAAACATCCTGGCTACTGGCCACTGAGCTGGGCAATGCTGAAGACCTACTTGCTGCTTTCCATGCCAGTTATCCTGGCAAACCTGGACCAGTCACTAGCTAAATATTCCTCTACCCTTCTGTTCTTCTTCTTGTTCTTACTTTCCTGACTATACTAAGGCCCTGTTTGGAATTCCAGTTGAAAAATTTTGAAAAAAAAAGATACAGAAAATTTCTCTCATGGTGTCATGTGACATATGTTTATGTGAGCATATTGATCTATGTGCTAACCACACAATGCTGTCCTTATGGATACCAACACCAATGCTCAACATGAGGTTGCATGCTGACATCATCTTCTGGCCCTACTTTCATGTCTTATTGCCCATGCCTGCTACTACTACCAGCTTTTATTTTTTTCTGCTTCTACACTGATCCCTTATCACACCTCCATCCTCACTGGTGAAGCCTGGGTTTACAAACTGCTAGATGGCCATCTGCAGCGCATCAAGAACAACCTTGGTGTTCAAAAAGAGCTCTTGTATCCATTCTATGTGACTGCAGTTTTTCTAGAAGCTGCCATGGTATCTCCATTGAAGAACAACTCACTATCTTTCTCTACTTCTTCATCACTGGACTTTCCTCTCACCATGTTGGTGAAAGGTTTCAACATACACCAGAAACTGTAGCCAAGTGAGTCATATTATTCTTGATCTGAAATAATGGAGCTGTACAGTTTTCATCTGATCCTTTCTACTCCTTGCAAGTCAAATTCCCCAATTTGATGACCCCCCTCATCTGAAACTATCACTCACAATCCATACTTTATTTTTTTTCATGACTGCATCAGTGCTGTTGATGGCATGCATATCCAGGCATATGTGCCCCTAGAAGAACAGGTGACTTGGTGGAACCACAAGGGGTATCTATCTCAAAACTGCCTCTTCATATGCAACTTTGACTTGTGCTTTATGTATGCACTCTGTGGCTGGGATGGCTCAGTCACTGATGCCACTCTCTGGCATGATGCATATACAAATGACTCGCACATTCCTCTAGGCAAATATCTGCTGGCTAATGCTGGATTTGGTTGCTGCGATGTGTTGCTTGTACCATACTGGGGCATCCATTACCACTTGAAGGAGTGGTGTCAGTTGAGACTGAAGTAAGGGCTTGATATCATTACTTCACTTTCAGTTGCTGATGACTTGTCCCCTCCACTCATCTAGACCATCAAATCCTCAAGAACTGTTTAACCTTTGCCATGCTGCTCTTCAGAATGTGGTCAAATGGATATTTGGAGTTCTGAAACATCAATGGCATATACTTCAGCTTATGCCAGAATTCAGTCTTGAAATACAAGCAAGAATTCCAATGGCACTCTGTGCCTTGCATCACTTCAGTGTAACATTTGACCCTGACATATTCCTCCTTGGCAAAGACATTGATTTCCAGGAAGACAACTATGACAGTCTTCTTCCCAAACTTGGAGGTGAGGTGCCAAGTACTGCAGAGAGGCAGTGTGCAGAATGGCATTGTGAGGAGATTGCTTGGTCAATGTGGGAAGATTGTCTGGACAAGCATTGCCACTGTGGAATACCTCCACCTGCATAAACTGATAGTACTATGTAGTGTTCATGTATTGTTCATGCATTTTCATCAGTCACATCCAATTGTATCACATTCAAATTGCATCATGTTGTCCAAAGAAACTGCAGTAAAAGATGATGCATGCTACATTGTATACAGACTTTGTGACAAACCACTCAAACAACATTACCCAACTTATGAACTTGTAACAACTTCCACTGGATCCACCTGATGCACATGTTCTCCTTGAGTTTGTTGAAGATAATAATTTGGTTTGCATTGCTAGAAGCAGCTAGGTAGTTGAGTATCTTGAAGTGATCCTGCTGAGGCATATCAAGGGTGTTAATAATAAGCATTGCTGTCTTCATACTTTCTTCAGCAGCTGTCTTTACTGGTGCAGAGGGCATGGGGCTCATAGCAAGGCCACTGAGACTTTGCACCATTTGCTGCAATGCATCTCAGCCTTCCATCCACATCTTTGCCTGTTCACTGAGTGGGTGAGACTGTCTGCTTGGATACTGACCCAGCATCAGAGCCTGCACTGTCCACCATCTTGCATTTTCCATGACTGACACTGGTCAGTGCCAAGGAGCTACTGGAGACTGTGGAAGGTGCAAGGAACATGGAGGGGAGTGAGGGGGCAGGGGAACTTGATGCTGGTGTGTTGGTGGTTTGAGGAATGATAAAGAGAGAAAGCAAAGTTGATGCCACTTGGTTGGAAGTCGACTGGGTGCTGGGGGTGGGTGTATCTGTTTTTTTCTTGGATTTTCCCCTTGGAGGACAGATGACATATTTGCCCTTCTCTGTTCCAGGTGAAAGCTGGTCCATGAGATGGAGGTGAGGCCACCTGGTGTTCTTGAACTTCTCTACTTTGCAATTAGCCTACAATTATGGTAAGCATGTGTGATCACAGGTAGATAAAAGCAATCAATACCTCCACCCATGCAAGCCACCAAGGATCATTGTCATCTGTAATTCCAAAACTGTGCTTGTCTGACCAAGTCCAACCTGATGCACTCCTGAGATTGTTCACAAGAGCATACATCCTTTTGAGCTACAAAGACATCAGACAGCAAGATAATAATAAGACACTACTCACATCTCCATGGTACTTGCTTTTGCATGCCAATGTATGCTTTGGTGCACCTTTGTACACTGGAAACTTGGCTCTCAAATGAGCCACTGCTGCCTTGAAAACTGTGTCCTTGAACCCTCCATCACCAGCATGAGGCAAAGACTCAAGTAAGAAGTTGAGGAGAGCAATCTCCTCCTCCATGTTCCAGAGACAGCTTTGTGTGCAGGTAGGTCTTTTACCAGCATTCTGCAGAATGGTAGGATCAACTGGGCCACTCAAGCAAAGAGATCACCTAGAACCATTGCTGGATGAATTGGACATGTTGGGTGGCTCACTGCATAGGACTCCCAGGGGAGTGATGAACAGGACAAGGTTACCTAATCATGTTCCCACAACCTATGTCACATGACACCATGAGAGAAATTTTCCATATCTTTTTTATTTTCAAAAATTTTCAACTGGCATTCCAAACAGGGCCTAAGATGGTTGATGCATTGAAAATATGTGTACAGTATTTACATTGGCATTTGGCTCAGACCAGTGCACTCACCCAGAGTCCCCCTTGAACACCTCTCCCTCACTCATCTGGAGTTCTCTTTCCTCCCCACTCTCTGACCCAGACCACTGACCCTTCATGCACATGTCCTCAGGCCAGCACATGACCCTCTTGTCCAACTCCACCCCTGCTCCTTTGTGATCTGACTAGAGGCTCTTGAGCTCCAGGTCTGCCATGTCCAAGTGCAGCTCTTCACTGGATTTGGACACTGAGGGGGTTGGGTGAAGAATGAACTCAAACTCACCCAGTAAATCACCCAGCCAACTGTTGAATTGGTGCTGGGTCTCCCTCCTGGCTCACATCTCTGTGGTCTGACAGTCCATGGCAGCTGCAATTAGCTGGAAACCCTTGGTCACCACTGCAACCAGAGGGTGGAAGGAGATGGTAGTGGGCACTACTACTCCTGAGGGGCCAGCTTCTGACTCACCAGGCACCCCAGACCTGGTTCAAATGACTTTCCTCTTCTCCCTGGCCCTTGGCGATGTAGCATCCTCTGGTGCTTGCTTCTTCCCAGATTTTGCCCCAGCCTCCTTGACCTCAGGCTCTACTCCCTCAGGCAGCTCACACCTAACCTTCATCTTGGTGCACTGGTCACACATCCTCTTCTTGTGCTTACCCTGTTGCATGTGACTGAAGGTGCATGGCACCTGCCCCTTTTTGCACTGTTTGCACAACCTGGCACCCTTGTCCCATGCCTTGCCATTCAGCTCCCCTGTTTTCAGCTGCACCTGGGCCTCACATTATTGGCATTCAGTCTCCAGATGCTCCTGTTCTTGCCTTTTGGCCTCCAACCACTCCTGCTCCTGCCTCTTGGCCTCCACCCACTCCCTCTCACACTGATCAGCCTCCACTTGCTCCTTTTTGCATTTCTCTGCTTCCAGACACTCCCTCTCGAGCCTCTCTGCCTCCAGCCAGGCAGCCTCTTCCCTCAACACCTTGTGCCACTTGCATTCAGCCATCTTCATGCAGATGTCAGCCTCCTTGTCATTGCTGGTGATCTGGAGTTTGGGTGTGGTGGCCTTCTGAAAGCTGGATGGGTCATTGGGTATGTGTGGGGAAGCCTGATGAGCAGAAGACATGATGATAGGGTCAGGAGAAAACAAGTCTTCACAAAGATGCACCTTTTTAACCCTGGTGAACACATGTTCTATTGGCATGGCAACTGCTGACCTCATGTACCTTAGGGCAGGTCTTGAGGGCTTGACCCTAGGGGGGGGATACTGTCATATACTGAGAAACCCATGGTTTGGTCTTACATTCAGAATGCTGAGTCAACACCAAACACCAAAATGAACTCTGTTCCTCACTATACTTTTCTAGTTAGCTTTTGTACTGCTCTCACTTGTGCCAAGGCAGTGTCTGTCTTCAGCTCTCAGACCCCCACCTCCTTGCTCAACTTTTAGTTAGTTCCTGATATCACTATTTAGTCCCTCACCAGTAACCTCAGCCTTTGGGTTGCTGGTCTTTGGTATATATACTCTATGTACATTGTACTTGGTTCCTCAGTCCGAATATCAACCTAGTTCACCCCCCAAGCTCCTAGCTTAAGCTTGAGTTGACTCTTGGCTTTTGCTCCTGACCCCCCTTAGCTTACTCTGATTTCAACCCAGCTTGTGCAAGGGTCTAGTACATGAGCTAAGACCAAGGGTTGTTGCACCCAGCACTTGGCCTTGGGCCTTCAATCCCCAACCAAGTCACAAACATAACAAGACTCCAAATCATTTTGATTGATCCCTCATGCTGTGATGGTGGTCTATTTGAACTGGAGGTTCCCATGATCATCTTGGAACAGGTCTGTTTGGGCTGGATGCCCTGGGAACAGGTCCATTCAGGCTGGGGAAACTCCCAGGATGAACTGGGACCAGGTCTATTTAGGCTGGATATTCCCCCAGGATGCCCAGGGAACAGGTCCATTTAGGCTGGAGATTGACCCAGGATGTCCAGGGACCAGGTCCATTTAGGCTGGGGAATCCCCCAGGATGTCCAGGGAACAGGTCCATTTAGGCTGGAGATTCCCCCAGGATGTCCAGGGAACAGGTCCATTTAGGCAGGAGATTCCCCCAGGATGCCTAGAACACAGGTCCATTTAGGCTGGGGAATCCCCCAGGATGCACTGGGAACAGGTCTATTTAGGCTGGGGAATCCCCCAGGATGTCCAGAGAACAGGTCTATTTAGGCTGGGGAATCCCCCAGGATGCACTGGGATCAGGTCTATTTAGGCTGGGGAATCACCCAGGATGCACTGGGAATAGGTCCATTTAGGCTGGGGAATCCCCCAGGTGTTATGATACATACTCTTTCTCCTTTCCTTTTCTTTCTTTTCATCTTATCTAATCTCTTGTCTTATCTTATCAGACTTGGTCCAGACTCTGGACTCCAGTCTGGACCTCACCTCACTGCTACCATCTGTTCTCCTTCTGGTACATTCTGCTCCACTGTGGTATTGTTATGATGTCACCATGATGTCATGGACCTCATGTATGCCTCACCATTACCACATGTACTTTACTATAAGTACTATTGCTCAATCTCCCAACTAGCTCTGAGCTAGTTCATTTGGGTCTACAAATCCTAAAGTCCTCTGCTTCTAAGCCATCTTCTCTTCTCTTCTCTTCATTTCTTCTTTTGGTTCTTGGTGTGAGCCTACAACAAACCCTGTTGTTAGGTCTCATCACACTTGAACTAGCTTCTCATCATTGTACCCTTGCACTGCCCATCACCATTCCTTGTTTCCTTCATGAAGGCTTGTGGGTGTACTCACCAAGTCCCCCTGCCTCTGAACCTGACCCAAACCTCTTTGTTCCATTTATCCCTGAGCATTGTTTGCTCACCTCACTTGTTGACCACTCCCTTTACCCCCTTCCCCCACCTCCATCTTATCCCTTCTCCATCAACTCTGTCTTCCTCTGTTCAACCCCCACTGAACCACAGCATCCCCACTGCAACCTTCATCCCCATCAAATGTTAAAATGCCCCAAATGCTATGGATGGAATCCAGGACCAGATAACCGACATTCAAAATGCCCTAGACACTCTCAGAGATGAAAACTACAGGCTAAACAACAGCCTAAGAACCACCCAAGACACAATTGCAATGATTGAGGGTCAGCACAATCAGTGGAATGCCCTCCCCACCAATGTCATTCAGAGGAGGATAGAAGTGATGGCCATCCTGGGTCAGTATGCCAGTGATCAGGCCAAGTTCTCAGAATGGTGGGTGAAGATGCAAGTATGGGTTGCACAGAATAGGACCACCCTACTGACCACCCAAGACAAATTCACTGCAGTGTGGTCTCATATGACAGGACCTGTGGCAGGAAGGTTTGCCCAGGCAAAGTTCTCTCTTGCTATTGTCACTGGGGTATGGCCTGACATGGCCAAGATGATAAAGGATATTGATAGGTTCTTTGCCCCTCAAACTGATGTCAAGTGGGCAAAGGCTCAGATGTGCACTATGTGCCAGGGAAACTCTTGGTATGAAGAGTTCTATGCAAAATTCAAGTCCTTGAAGGTTCAGGGACATGTCACTGATGAAACTGCTGGCTTCTTGCTAGAGAATGCTGTCCACCCTGCCATTATTAAGGAAGCCCTAAGGAGGGGATATATGCAGGGTAATTATCTCCAGATGACTGTTGCCTTCCAGGAAGTAGCTCTTGCCAGGGACCACTTCAAACTTCTTTATAATCACTACCCCAACAAGCCTGCTCCCCACTCCTCCTCATCTTACTGCTCTCCTTACCCCCTCTTGCTTCACTCCCACCAGTACTCAACCCAGTCATGGTGCCCCTATGGAGATTGGCACTGCTCAGTTCCCTCCTCACCCTGCTGTCACACACCAAAGGTGTTGTGGACATGGTTACAGCTGACTCTGCCTAACTTGTTGACAAGTTGCATGCATTGCCCATGCATGCAGATGAAAACTAAAGCCCTCATGTGTAGAAAGACTGCTGGATGTGAGCAGTCATCCTTTGCACAAGAACAAGTCATCAGTGCTAAAGAGAAAGAGAGGAAGCAAGCTAAGCATGCATTAAAAGTTTTTAGTGCCCATGTATGGCATTCCAGTTTTCATCATATCTCTGCCATTTCCAAAGATATTGACTCCATTCTCACACTCGCTTAAAGTGCTCAGCCATGCAATTCTGCCTTCTAAATTTGGAGAGGATCCTTGCACCCTATGCATTTCTACAGCACTCCATCCATCAGATGTGCATTTCACAAAGTTCATCAATAATGGCTGCCTCTTTGTTGATCATCTTACTTGTCTCATTTGCCAGAGACAGTTGCTACATATATCTGCCAGGCATTCCCACCAGCTTCTGTCCTGAAGCCCCCTGGTTCATTCCATCCTCAGCAGTCCTGTCTTGTCCCATGCAGCTTGGTCAGCATGTTCTCCTTGTCAGTATGACTTCCAGAAGGATGTTCTTTGGTTGCCTCAGGCTTTTCACTTGGTTAGAAAGGTCTTATGTGGTCATTTTGGTCTGCCCAGTTGGTGAAGCATATGGATTGTTCCTCCCTGCTCCCTGCACCATCTTTATTCCAATCTCATCCAGTGTTCTCCCCATATTGTGACAGCTGCAGCATAATCTACTGTTATCCAGCCTCCCTGATCACATTCATGATGAGTATGATGTGCATCTTGCCTTCTTACTGCAAGATCCAGCAGAAGATGTCCCCCCTTCTCCTCCTCCATCAGAGCCCTGTTCATGAAGTTTTTGTTAACTTTGCTGAGAGGATGAAAGGGTGGGAGACACAATCACTTATGCTCCCATTGCCCTGTAGACCCCCAACACCCTAGCCCCTTTGACACCTGACTCATGCCCTCCAATTCTGGAATTAATACTTCCCTATCTGGAAACACCATCCATCTGTCATGCCATCTTTGGATCTAGAGATGTCTCTGCCAAGATCTGACATGCATCACCACCCCCTAATGTGATATCAGTGCACTTACTCAGTTTCTGACTCCATTTAACTCATTTTGTGATATTTTGACTATCCTTGACCCATTCATTGCCAATACTTACCAATCCTCTTTGCTTGCTTACTTTTCATTTCTCACTTACTCATTACTTACCAAGTGTTTGTACCTTGTTTGTCACAAGCCATGCTCCCCCCACAGTATATAAACCCCCATGTACTTAGCTACAACCCCCAAGTAAAGAAGTGATCCAGAAGCCATTCACTCAGCAGTCAGTTCAGTGCATAACTTGTCATTGACAATTGAGGCTCATTCAGAAGAGTTTATCTGTCTTCATTCATATCATTGGTAGTTGAGGCTCCACAAAGGGGTCTATCTACCTCCATCATTTATCTGAAGCTTTATCCCCACACTTGGTCAGCACATACACTTAGTCATTCCCCCACTCCTGCATAACTTGTCATTGACTTGTGCCAGGAGCATGTTTTATCAAAGTCCATCATTCCAGAAGTCCTTTTGGCTGAACACCTTCACTCTGTTCAGCATCCCCTGTCCAGTCATTGCTCACTTGTCTTCTCCTGCATAACTTGTTGTCAACTTGTGCTAGGAGCACCTCCACTTGAAGTCCCCCCCCCCCACATTAGATTTTTCTGCACTCCAGCTTCTGTGGAGGCAAGCCACCACTCACACATTATTTGTCTTTGGTGTTGGATTTGTTTGGTTTTCACCAGCTCTCCACACTTTGACTCACACCAACCCCTCTCAAATCAAGTGTTTCAACTGCCAAGGGAATCATTATAAACATGATTGCCCTCATGCCAAAGGGAAGGTTTGTGCTAAACCCAACATATGAGAGGTGACCCAGGAAGCACAGGAGGTTTCCCTCCACCAAATGTCATTTGAAGAAATGCAGGCCTTCTTCTACAATAGACAGATCAATGAGATGAAGGTCCAGGGAAAAGAGTTTGGCCAGTAGAGGAACAAGTCTCTTCTGGCTACATATACAATAGGTTTTCTGTTCTAGGCATTGACAATTTCTCTACTGAGCAGAATATATTTAACTCAGAGACTACTGTACCATCTGAAGAGGTGACCCCAGTGGGCAAGGCCACAGATGTAAAACTGCTGGTGCTTAATTCCTCCTGCAATAAAAATCAAAATACACCTATTCAGCTTACTAAAGAAACCCCAAAGATAAGAACAGCAGATCCAAAGGCAGAGTTGGAGTTAGAAGTGGTGTTAGAAGGGAGAGAAAAGAGGTGGAATGTAAAAGCTTGGTGGACTCTGGAGCAAATGACATGTTCTTGGACAAAAAATGGGCTGATGAAAACAACATTCCCCTTATCAAGCTTGGTCAACCTGTTGCTGTCCTTAATGTCAATGGCACTCCTAATGTTGCTGGTAACATCACACATGTTGCCTCTCTTGTCATGAACTACCAGGGACATTGCAAGTCTGTCTGGGCACAGGTTACCATCCTTGGCACTCACCTTCTTATCCTTGGCTATACCTGGTTATGCAAACATAATCCCAAGGTCTGCTTGGAAACCAAGCAGGTCAAACTGTCACATTGCCCCTATGAATGCCATGATCTTGCCCCAAGGACTAGGAAGGAGAGGTTGGCTGAAGAGCAGGAGGCTCAGGACATGGAGTACCTTTATCTGAAACTCCACTCCACCAGGATCAGGGCTGGTACCACTGAGGAACTCATTCCAAAGGAGTATCACCAGTACCTCAAGGTGTTCTCAAAGGAAGAGTCAGAAAGGATGCCCCTTTGTAAGCCATGGGACCACACCATTGACCTGAAAGAGACCTTCACTCCCAAGTGTGGTTGCCTTATCCCTCTCTCCACTGAAGAACAAAAGGAGGTGTCAGACTTCCTTGAAGACCAGTTACACAAGCAGTATATCCACCCTTCAAAGTCACCTCAAACATCCCCTGTCTTCTTCGTACCTAAGAAGGATGGCAAGAAGCACATGGTTCAGGACTACTGATACCTCAATGAGCACATGGTCAAGAACACATCCCCCCTCCCCCTCATTTCCCAACTCATCAATAAACTCAAGGGTTGTAAACTCTTCACCAAGATGGATCTCTGTTGGGGATACAACAACATTTGTGTCAAGGAAGGAGATGAGTGGAAGGCCACTTTCATCACTCACAAAGGTGCCTACAAACCTCTCATGATGTACTTTGGTCTTTGCAACTCCCCCTCCATGTTCCAAAATATGATGAATGACATCTTTAGTGATATGGAGGATGTTCTGGTGGTTTACATCAATGACCTCATGATCTTTATCAAAACAGACAATGAAGCTGAACATGACAGAATCATCCTGGAGGTACTAAGAAGGTTGGAGGAAAATGATTTGTTTGTCAAACTGGAGAAGTGCTTCTTCAAGCAAAAACAGGTGGAGTTCCTGGGTATGGTAGTTGGGACTGATGGGGTCAAGATGGATGAGAACAAGGTTAAGGCCATAACCAAGTGGCTGATACCAACTAAAGTTCACTCAGTTTGAGCCTTCTTGGGCCTGACCAACTTCTACAGGAGGTTCATCAAGGACTTTGCCCAAATAGCTTGTCCCCTTAATGATCTCACCAGAAAAGACCAGCTGTGGACTTGGGGTCCCAGAGAGCAACAAGCCTTTGACACCTTAAAACTTGCATTTACCACTGCTCCTGTCCTTGCTTTCCCTGATCAAGACAGAGAGTTCCAGTTGGAGACTGATGCCTCTGACTTCACAACTGGTGCTGTCCTCTCCATGAAGTGTGAAGATGACCTCTGGCAACCTGTTGCTTTCTATTCCCATTCCATGTCCCCTCCTGAACAAAATTACCAGGTCTTGAACAAGGAGATGCTGGTCATAATTTGTGCCTTGTAAACATGGCATCACTACCTTGAGGCCACCCTGTACCAGTTTGAAATCTGGACAGATCACTCAAATCTCCCGTATTTCATGAAGGCACAAAATCTGGATAACCAACAAGCATGTTGGGCTCAGTACCTCTCACAGTTTAACTACAAGCTGGTCTATAAGCCAGGCTCCTCAATGACCAAGGCAGATGCTCTGCCCAGAAGGGAGGACCATGAACCAGAATGGGGCTCAGATAATCAGGGCATCACCCTCCTTGACCCAGCAAGGGTTGCTTCTACTTTGATCATTGGAGAGGATACAGATCTGGTCATTGCCTTGAAGTCAGCCTCCTCCATCACCCTGCAGCCAGAGGGCTCTGTTCTCTAGGAAGGGTTGTACATCTGTGCAGGAACAGTCTATGTTCACCCTGCTGTCCATGTTCACTGTCTCTAAAAGCATCATGACACTCCCATCACAGGACACCCTGGTTGGAAGAAAACCCTGGAGCTCATCTCTCAAAACTACACCTGGCCTGGAATGACTTCTTTGGTAAATGTCATATCCATGACTCTCAGACTCAAGCCTGGTCCTAGTCCAGTCTAGAAAACCCAACTCTGGCCCTAGATAACCCAACTCCAGCCTGAATAACTCAAGTCCAGTCTTTTACTCCTATCTCCAGTCCATTCTGGCCTCCTGGCCTTGTACTGCTCCACCCCAGTCCTCCCAGGTCCATGTCCAGGTCACCCGGACATAACTCCAGTCTGTTTTCCTTTGTTTGTACTATATTTAGTCTAGTCTCCTTTTGTCTGACTCTGCTTACTGTACAAATCCTGTGTCCAACCCCAGTTATGCTGGTCACCTGGACTTTGACTATTGGCCTTGGCACAGCCCCTACGGCTGTCCACACTCTTGCTAATCTTCTTGCTAATAGCTTATTAACAAGTCTGGCTCTATGTTCATTATCCCAGACCAGCCTCATGTATTTAACCCCTGTACATACTTCATAGCACCCTCAGTCAGAATATCAATTTAGTATTACCCTCAATTCCATATTACCCCCCAAGTCTACTCTATAGCTAAGGCCAAGCCTTAAGCTATCCCTGGCCCCTGTCCCAGACCTCTCCCCAGCTTGCATAAGGGTACAGCACATAAGCTGAGACCAAGGGAGGTAGATCCAACCCCAGACCAGCTTCCCCCTGTGCACACTCCAAGACCAGTCAGTTTCCCATGCTCCCAGCCTTGTTCCTGTGCTCCTGGCCTTAAGTCCAGTCCTCTGGCCTTAATTCTGGTCCAACTGGACTTGGCCCCTGTCTCCTGTCCTTGACTTTGGTCAGCCAGACTTAGCCCCTGTCACCCAAGGGTAAACCCATACTTAACAGTAAAAGACTATGTCACAGCCTGTCACCATTGTCAAATGGCCAAAACTTCTTGTGCCCCTCTGGTGGGCAAACTGCTTCCCAGCCCCATCCCTAGCTGTCCTTGGACCAACATCTCAGTTGACTTCATGGAACTACCAGAGGCTCAGGGCTTTGACAATGTCATGGTGGTAGTTGATTGGTTTTCCAAAGAGGTGGTCTTTGCACCCACCACTAAGGAGGTCTCTTCCCTCCAGACTGCAGAACTCTTCACAGATCATGTCTGGACCCAGCATGGTCTTCCCTCCTCTGTCATCTCTGACCATGGACCTCAGTTTGCTAGCACATTTACCAGCAAGCTCTGCAAAATGCTCAGGGTCAAACCCAAGCTTTCTACCACCTCCCATCCTCAGACAGATGGCCAAACTGAGTGAATTAACCAGGACCTTCAACAGTACCTCCACCTCTTCATAAACAACAGACAGGGCTCTTGGCCTTCCTGGCTTAAGGTTGCTCAGTTCTCCTATAACAACAAGCAACAGGAGTCCACTGGCAAGAGCCCCTTTTTGGTCACTCACTCCTACTCTCCTCACATGGGCATAGAGCTGTTCCTCTCTAAAGCAGAAGCTGCCACTGACCACACAGTAGACTTTGCTAAGGTCCTTGAGGACACAAGGAAGGCCCTGGAGAAAACTGCAGAACAAATCATCAGTAGACCACTTTGTGAGCTGGTAGTCCTAGGGAATCTGTCCAGTGCAGGACAGCTCTGGACAGCTCTGACCAGCAAAAGTGATTTACTGATGATGAAAGCCACCTCAGACTTGGCCTGCTCCAATGCTCCCACCTACTTTGTTGGCAATATGGTCTGGCTGGAAACATCTAGGATCTCCCTCTCTGGTCATCCCTCCTGAAAATCCACAGAATGATGGATCAGCCCTTATCAGGTTGTTTCCCTCAGGCCAAGCACAGTGGAGTTAAAACTTCCTAAAACCCTCAAAATCCACCTGGTGGTAAATGTCTCATGGGTTAAGCCATACAAGGGCCCCCTGGAGGGACAGGCCATTACTTTCCCTGGGCTGGTGGTGGGGCATGAGGGTGATGAAGAGTTTGAAGTTGAGTACATTGCAGATTCTTGCCTCAAGCACAACAAACTAGAGTTCCTTGTCCATTGGAAGGGGATACCACAATGAGGATCACACTTGGGAGCCTGAAACCACTTTGAAGTCTGCTCCTGCTGCCATCTCTGACTTCTATCATCAGAACCCCTCGACCCCTCACAAACTTTGTGGCATGGACTCTTCCCTTTTTAACTTCCTCTTCCAACCCCTCAAGAACTTTACTGACACTGTCCCTACCTTCAATTGCCTGGAAGTTGATTTCTAAGGAGGAGATAGTGTTACAATACATACTCTTTCTCCTTTACTTTTCTTTCTTTTCATCTTATCTAATCTCTTGTCTTATCTTATTGGACTCAGTCCAGACTCCAGACTCCACTCTAGACCTCACCTCACTGCTACCATATGTTCTCCTTCTGGTACATTCTGCTCCACTGTGGTATTGTTATGACATCACTATGATGTCACAGACTGACAGATATATCTATGCAGATAGCTCAGTCACATGCAGATAGTGACAACATCTAAGTATATTTATCTATGCAGATAGCTAGGTGTGCAGTAAGTACAGTAAAGTAAACAGAAAGGTATCATACTCACCTCAGCTGTGCACAGATAGCAACAATGTCTGAGGTGATGGAATTTGCAGTACAGGACTAAATACTGTAGTTGTAACAAGGACATGAGACACCAGGTGTTGAACCCATCTATACATAACAAAGGTTTGTCTCATTGTGAGATGCACTACATTCTTCATAAGTAATGAAAGACATGCACATGAGTGCAAGACACTGTGAGTACAATGAACATAAGGGCATGAAAGTTAATTGTGCAATCAATAAAAAGGTGAAGTATGAAAGGCTTAGAATGGAAAATGGTTCTCATGACTCAGAGTGGATGTGTTCAGACTATGCATGACTTGCCAAATCTAACACTCCCCCTCAAGTTGGACATAGGCCAAGTTTGACAGTGAAGTGTTTCACCTTGGGCAATGGTAAGGCTTTAGTCAGGGTGTTGGCAATCATATTGGCAGTGGGGCAATAGATTAAGTGGATCTTGCTGTTTTCAACGACCCAGCAGATGAAGTGGAAACAGATATTGATATGTTTGGTGCATGTGTGATACTGATGATCTTTGGTGAGTGCAATAGCTGATTGATTATCTGAGAACAACATGGTCAGCTCAATGAGTGACCAAAGCCATAAGGTATCCTTGGCTGCATGGGTAGCTGCCATGTACTTGCTCTCTGTTGTCAAGAGAGAGATGATTCCTGTCATTTAGAAGACCACAATACTGCTCCACCATCTATCAGGAGGCATACCCTGAGACTGCTCTATGGTCTTCCACCATGCTTCCATCAGCATCTGCATGTCCAATGAGCACATTCAATGCTCCACCATATGTCAACCTCAAGCTCTTGGTTCCAAGAAGGTAATGGTAGATTCTTCTGACTGCATCCCAGTGTGGCATCCCAGGATTTCCAGAGAAGTGGGAGATGGTAGTCACAGTGTACAAGATGTCAGGGTGAGTGCCAAGTGAGGCATACATCAGTGAACTGACAGCTTTGCAGTATGGTATGTGTTTCATTGTGGCAAATTCAGTGCCAGTGGAGGGTGACTGACTGGAGTGTAACTTGGTGCTAGGCTCCATGGGGTTTGACACAGGTTTAAGCTCATCAAAGCCAAAGTGATGAATGATTGACTCAATGTAGGGACACTGGCACAGCAAGATGGAATGTTTGTCTCTATTTCTCATTACTTCTATCCCAAGCAACCAGTGGAACTCACTGAGGTCAGTGATCTCAATGTGCTTTCTGATGTCTTCTTTAAACTCCTTGATTTTTCTTGGAAGTGTTGCAGTGATGGTGCAGTCATCAATGTGTTCAACAATGATCATGAGCTCACCAGTACTGCAATGTCAGAAGTATATGGCTTGGTTGACAGAGCACTGGGTAAATTTCAGCTCATCTACTAATATCTCCACTAGCCTTTGGTACCAGCAACAACTGCTTTGCTTCAGGCCATACAGGTTTTGCAAAGATGGAAAACTTGGTGAGGGTGTTCAGCAGATTTGAAACTAGAGGGCTGTCACATGTAGATGACCTCATCATCAGTGAGTGTGCCATTTAGATATGCTCCTTTGATGTCAATCTGATGGAGCTCTAGATCAGAGCAAGCAGCCATTGTGAGTACAATGTGGATGGATGTGAGGGTTGCCACAGGTGCAAATGTGTCAAAGTAGTCAACTCCTTCAACCTGCAAAAAGCCTTGGGCTACAAGCCTGGCTTTGTGTCATATGATGTTTCCTGCAGCATCCTTCTTTGCCCTGAAGACCCATTTTGAGCCTATGACATTGGCACCAGGAGGTAAGTTGACAAGTTCCCATGTTTCTGCATCTCACAATGTGGCTAACTCCTCTCTTATTCCTCCTTCCCATTGCAACCAATTGGGATGGTGATGAGCTTCTGCTAGTGAACTAGGTTCGAGGGCCTCAGCTTTGGCAGTGATGTCATCCATGGCCATAATAAGGTCAATGTTGCAAAGAGCATCATCGGGGTCTTCTATGATGGATGTGAGCAAAGCTGCAGCTACATCCTCCCCCTCAGGCCTAGGGGAATTGGCTTGATCTTTGATGGGAGTGGGGAGCTGGACTCCTTTGGGTATATCAGGTATGTCACAGTGGTTGGTACTTCCTCTTCCAGCAAGGATCTCCACAAGGCACTGACTAGGCTTTCAAATTCATTTTGCAACAGATGGATCAGTTGGTGGTAGTGAAGGCGAGGGTTGAGCTGGGATAGTCTGTGGAGGCATTGGGGCTGCTTTGGTCTCTTTGATGGGAGCTGGAGGCATTAGCATCATGTTTAGTAAGTAGCCATCTTCTTCCTCCCCCCCATGAGGTAATGACTCAGCCAAGGAGGGATCCCAGTACACATTCCTTTCAACAGTAACTGACTTCTTTTCAGGCCAGTACATGCAACAGCCATTGGGGCTGTTGTTGTCAATCCCAATCCATCAGCCCTCCATGACACACCCTCCAAGTTTAGTTCCACCTTCAACTCATACCCAGACACTTGAACCCCATACATGGACTTGACTAAGATCTGGTTTCTTTCCAGTTGCAGCTTCAAGGGGCATCCCACCATCAAGCACTTTGGTGGGGGTCCTATTCTTCAACCAGACAGTGTGATGTACTGCTTCTCCCCGTAGGGCATGAGGCAAAGTGCTCTCATGCAACATAGCATGCACTTTCTCCAGCAGGGTGTGATTAAGGCACTCAGTGATCCCATTATGCTGTGGGGTGTCATGAACAGTGAGTTTCTGTTTTGTGCCAGCTGCTTTGAGATACATCACAAATTCCTTTCTGAGATACTCACCACCATGATCAGAATGAAGAATCTTCATGTGGGCATCATGCTGGGTGTGGCACAGGGCTTCAAAATTTTTGTATGTGGTGAAGGCTTCACTTTTCTGGTGAAGGAGATGGATATAGGTGAGTCACATCTTGTCATCAGTAAAGGTAATGTAATAACATCATCTGCCAAGAGTCTCCACAGGTGCAGGTCCCCAGAGGTCAGTGTGTACCTCTTCTGCAAACTCTCAGGCTTGTTCTCCAATGCATTCCTTTGTGATAGGTCTCCTCATTGCCTTCACATATATGCAGGCTTCACAGAAGGTCAGTTTATCTTTTGACAAGTCAAACCTCAAGCCTGATACAAGTCCTTTTTCTGCTAGGTGACAAGTGATGGGCAGGGAGATGTGTCCCATTCTACAATGGAGTTCCATTATAGTTACAGTCTCAGCTGCTACATTTGTACTGTCATGATCCTCATTATGGACAACACAATAGAGCCCAGCCTTAGACTTGTGAATGTGACTGATGACATTGTCAGTAGTGTTCCTGATGGTGCAGGCACCTTCAGCAAAGGTAACAGAGTATCCTAGCTGATCAAGGTGACTGACAGATACAAGGGTATACCCAACCTCAGGAGAGTATAGCACCTCAGTGAGTTGTAGCTTGGTCACATCATACCCATTTGGCACTTCTATTACCAGCTCCCCCATAGCTGTGGTGTCAAAAAGCTGTTTGTTGGCAGCTGAGAAGGATTTGGGTGGTATGTTGGTCAATGTTTCAAACCTTTCCTTGTAGGGGGAGATGTGTTGAGTGGATCCAGAGTTGTAAAGTTTAACAACAGGCATGCTGATAGGGGTGTTGTTCATGAGGTTTGCAAGCCCATCCACTTCCTCCTCTTTGCTGAACCAGTCCTTGTCAGAGGCAACAAAGCAATGTTGATCATCTGATGATGATGATGATGATGATGATGATGATGATGATGATGATGATGATGATGATGATGATGATGATGATGATGATGATGATGATGATGATGATGATGATGATGATGATGATGATGATGATGATGATGATGATGATGATGATGATGATGATACACTTATTAGTTCAGGGAGTGGGACTTCATCATCAAGTTCCCCTAGGGCATGCACTGAAAAGGCACCCTCTTTGTCAGAATCAAACATTACAGCATGTGCAGATCCCTTCATAATGGCAAGTGGAGTTTCCTTCTTTTTATCAGGGTCAGGACACTGAGCTTTATAGTGCTCCCTCAAGCCACAGTTCCAGCAGGGTCCACACTGACGAGCATGCCCTCTGGAACTTCCCCCTCATCCACCATTCCTATCATTTCCTCGCCCCCAACTGGAGTAGTTCCTGGGGGTCAAAGCTAAGGCTTCATCACCATCATGAGCCTTTTGTTTTCCTCATGAGTTTTGAGTCTCTTTGTGGCCTTGCCATTCCAACTCTTCAATGATTAGGGAGATGAAGATATCAGGGTCAATGGTTTGTGTCAAACTGTACAGGTGGGCTGTTGCTAGCTGTCCTGACATGAAGCTAGCAAGGTATTTAGGCAGCAATTGGATGATTGTCAAGCAGTAATCCTTTTCTTCAATCTGTATGCTGGTGGCAGCTAACTTGTCTCTCTTTGTATGCAGATCATCCAAGAACTGGTGGACATCACTGTCAACAGGGCACTGCAAGTTCAAAAACTTGGTGTGAAGGTTAGTTTGTGTGTAAGTACCCTTTTCCATGAACTTGCAAATGATCTCATTCCACATAGCCATGATGCTATTAAGGCCATGCACCCAGAGGGCAGTAGAATTGGGAATTTGTTGGGTAACTAAGTGTTTCACCATATTTTCACTTTTCTGCCATTTAGTGAGTTCATCAGTGTTGGGAGAGACTACAGTCACAAATCCATCCTGATCGGTGGAGGTCATGCCAACAGGGCCAGGAGAGGTGCCATCAAAGTGGGACCACAGTTCCTTAGCTTTGATGGTGGTATGGAAGTGAAGAGAAAAGATCACCCAGTTTGTGCCTTTGATGTCAAGCTTCCGAACATTGCCTGGGAGCATGTCAGTGGTGATGGGGATAGAGGACATCATTTGGGGGGTGATCCCCAGTGAGAAACCACCATATGCCAGACTAGGTAGTAATCTGTAAATATAGGCAAATAGGAACAAGTAGATTTGCATTGTAAATGTACACTATCATAGTATTATTCACTATTCGTGCATATGCTGATCCATATGTACCTATTAGCATAGTCAACCATATATCTACCTAGCTATCCCTGTGTCCATGACTCCACTATGCATTTATATGCAACAATAGCTCAGGCAATTTGGCTTGAAATCACTATGCCATTATATGCATAGCTAGTGCAAATACAAAACCCACCCACTCACTCCCTGGTCACTTGACCAGTATGCAGACATATGAGTATGTAGTTGTTGAAACCCACCCACCCCATCCCTGTCCTACCACTTGCCCTACCGCTTGCCCTACTGCTTGCCCTACTGCTTGCCCTACCACTCCTACCACTCTTACATGTACCACTCTCACCCCATCCTAAATCCCATCTACCACTAGTACATGGTACTGCCAGAAAACTTCACAATTGTCTCTGTGGTGCTATTTGTCCAAACACCAGTGTCAACCTGAAGTGGTGTGTCAGCAGCATGTGATTGTGGTATCAGGAGTGAATTCGACATACAAGTTTCCTGTATTCCTCTTTGTATTTCTAGGTTAAGGCATATTAGTATTGACCAAATGATGAAAGCGACTGATTACTTACCTCCTTTGTCTCTGTAGGAAGTTGATTGTAATATGTATTGAACTCCTCCTGTGTGCTGTTTGGAGAAACTGTCTTGAGCCACTGGTGGGCACACAGCATCCTCATATCAATATTAGTATAACCCATCCCTCTCATGAAATATGACATACCATGCACTTTTGTTTGACCTGGGGCACCAAGCCTTCTTCTTGCTTGGTCCAAGTGTCTCAGAAGCTGTTGATGTCAGGTCACCAGTAACTGTGGATGAAGGCTGTGAAGGGGGCAGAATGGTTATGGTGGTAGTGACATCAGCAGTGCCACTGGCCTCTGCAGGGGAAGTCTGTGGAGGGGGGCAAACCGATTCACTCATTGGAGTGACTGTTGGAGTGATAGATACGGACAAGCCAGCACTCGTTGGAGTGACCACTGGAGCAACCGTTTGAGATATGGATGAGCCAACATGCTTGGCTGGGGAAGTCTGTGGGGGAGATTGAACAGGCGCCATGTTGGGGATGTTGGCAGTAGCTGGCACTGACAGTGGGAGGCCCAAGTGGTTCAATGGCACAGACGACCTAAGCCAAAGATATCAGTACATCCTGTATGCAAGTGAAGTCTATATTACAGAATGTTTTTCAGCTTTATCTTAGGCAAAGGGCGAGCTTCTCAGGCTGTCAATGCGAGTTAGAATGGACACCTGTATCGTCATTACCTTTCAGCTCAAAAAAGCCACTATGGTTTGACTTGGGGTTTGAAGTACTGGTAGATGCCTCCAAAAAATCTGAAGAAACATCAGCCAATGGTGACACAGATAAAGGACTGATTTCCGCATCAAAGGAAATGTCTTTGGGTAAACCTGTGTCGACTTTGGTATGCTTGTTGTCAACATCAGTTGTCTCCAACTTCGCATCTGCTTTGCACTTGCTGGGAATAGACTTCTTGTCCTTATTTGTGAACCAAGTCTGTTTGTACAATGCATAGTACTGCTTGGCTAGGTTATCAGCTTTCCACGAGTCTTCACAAAGGGCAAGCTCGTCATGTGCACCAGCAATTTCAGTATGAAATATCTTCTTGATGGATAATGGCATTGATTTCCACGTTGTGTTGGCATCAATCTGGCCTTGGCAGTGGAGGTCATGCCAGATCTCGCACATTGTCGAGAGAATTTTGCTGACACACTTCTTGGGTAGCTGCTTGCCATCCTCATCTTCTAGGTATGCTGTCTGTGATTTAGACATTATGGCTTGTCCCTCTGCAGTGGCCTTCCAGTCCTTGTACTCCTTTTCTGTCCAAAACCATACCTTCTTGTATGCCGATCTATCACGATGGGGCAGTGGAGCTGGGGGAAGACGTAGATTCAGCAGAAGCGGAATGCCCTGCATGCTGACATTAAGGAACATGTTGGGGCCTTCCTTGGTGCTTGAAATCAGACAGAGCTGAGAGACAAGTGCAGTATATGCACCCCTGTTCAAACATGACGTTGTCAATCGAATAATAAATCAGGTTGACACAGCTACTTGATTGCAGTCTTCCCAGCCGTGAGTGCTGCATTTTCACTTTGGAGTTTGTTGATAGTCTCTTTAAGAACTTGAATCTAGGCAATATACTAGCTGTGTGTGTGAAATCAGCCAGTGTAACATAGATGCACTGTATTATTATCTTGAAGTGTGTTAACCTGTGGCCCAAGCTATGTTCATCAAGATCAGATGTTAGCTATATTAGAACATGACAGATACACCATGTATCTGTGCTTGAGAGTGTGGCCAATGCTGGGTGCTGTTGAAACCACGGAAGATGCTATCACCTGAGGTCCTGAATGAGTCGCAGGACAAGCTGTTCTGAAGGTTATTCGAGATATTAGTCTGCCCATCAAGAAACAGAGGGTATGGGGATGCTTGTCCATCAGAGGAAGGGAGCAACAGGGTGGCAGGAGGAAACGGTGGGAGGAAATGGGAGGGTGTCCCAATATGGTCTTTAGAGCCAGACTTGCCTCACACCAAATACACTTTAACTAACGCATCTTAACCATAACCATGTCCTCCGATGATATCGACACTGCTCTAGTGACCATTCCAGTCAGAACTACCATTGTCAACAATACAGCCATTCTCGACACCCACACTCTCTCTTCCGACTGGAACATGTATCTTGTTATGCTCACTCCAGAGAATCCAGCCCCATCCCATCACTAAGTGAAGCGTTCTGAATCCACCAGATGAAATCCATGCTTCATGCGTGCTTGGGATTTGTAGAGGTGAAATCTGCAAGTTCGTTCAAGTCAAGATCGATGAGAGGATTTCTCTGTGTGTTGGGAGGGGGAAAGTCTTCATGCGTCTGCCCAGGTGAATTACAGGGAGAGCCAGGAGGGGGAAAGTCTTTGCGCATCTGCCCAGGTGAATTATGGGGAGAGCCAGGAGGGGGAAAGTCTTTGTGCATCTCTTCAGGCATGCTATTGGGAGACGCAGGTGAAGGCAAATGCTCGTGCACCTGGAGAACCTGGTAGTCTTGATTTATAGGAATATAATGAATACATAAAATGAACTCACCTCAAAGTCATCCTCATCAGAGAGATGGAGATGCTTGGAGGAGTTGTGGTCACCATTGGGACCATTATGCTTGGAACCAGAAAGTCTATTACTTGCAACAAAGGCACAGAAGGTGTTGGAGCATCTTGCTAAACAAACATCTTGTTTTTCATCTTCACCTGCATCACGAAAGTGATGCCACCAAGTAGCAAGGGTATTCAGAGGCTTCCAGGTGCCCTTACAGTACTTTCTGCATGTACACCAATATACTTCACCTTCGAGATCTGGCATATCTGTGGTACAATGTAAGTCAATCTGTATCAACAGGTCTGATAGCATACCTAGGTTGTAATGTTGTAGAGCCAGTGGAATGGAATGAATTCAATGGAAAATCTTCATCGAAATCTTATAATCATGATGACTTGAGGAATCCAAACAAGAAAGTTTCAGTAGCAATTTCTATGGGGAAATATGCTCTAACTTGGTTTCAGTCACCACACACCATAAGCATAGTTACACATACATATAAACTATGGTACATACAAATATGTATCTACACCTACATATGGATATGATGGGTTCTCACTGGGGGTGATCCAGAACTGATTGGCAGCAAGAATATTGAAACAATGGTGAGATGTTTGTAGGCTATTAGAGCTTGGGGCTCATAACCTGACAGATATATCTATGCAGATAACTCAGTCACATGCAGATAGTGACAATGTCTAAGTATATTTACCTATGCAGATAGTGACAACATCTGAGGTGATGGAATTTACAGTACAGGACTAAATACTGTAGTTGTAACAAGGACATGAGACACTGGGTGTTGAACCTGTCTATACATAACAAAGGTTTGTCTCATTGTGAGACATGCACATGAGTGCAAGACACTGTGAGTACAATGAACATAAGGGCACAAAAGTTAATTGCATGATCAATAACAAAGTGAAGTATGAAAGGCTTAGAACAGAAAACAGTTCTCATGACTCAGAGTGGACACATTTGGACTATGCACAACTTGCCAAATCTAACACAGACCTCATGTATGCCTCACTGTTACTGCATGTACCTTACTATAAGTACCATTGCCCAATCTCCCAACTAGCTCTAAGCTAGTTCATTTGGGTCTACAAGTCCTAAAGTCCTCTGCTTCTAAGCTGTCTCCTCTTCTCTTCTCTTCATTTCTTCTTTTGGTTCTCAGTGTGAGCCTTCAACAAACCCTGTTTTTAGGTCTCATCACACCAGGATGCACTGCAAACAGGTCCATTTAGGCTGGAGAATCCCCCAGGATACCCAGGAAATAGGTCTATTAGCTCACTGGGGAAAGCCCCATTTGGACCCCAGGCACTCTGTTATAGATGTAATAATCCTGGAGAAAGTCCATGTCTCACACCTTGCTCTGGAGAATCTCCAGGGCCTGGCAAATCTCCAGCAGTCACTGGGAATACCCAGGTGGTCAACACCTATCAGGCAGATACATCTATAAGAATATATGAACCTAATGGGTCCCCTAGGGGGGGTGACTGAAGTGAATGTGAATGCCATATAGTACACTTCATACCTGTAACATTGAGATAACACCCCACAACCTTACACTAGGTGTGTTGAAGTGGAGATTGGATATTTAACATGCCATACAAATTGATGATGAGCAATAGTCCCATACCCCAACATGCTACTCTTATTTGTGACCATACATAGACTTTATTAGCCTTCTGGCTTTATCAGCAGTGGCTTTGCTGAAAAAATCTCAGAACAATAACTCCATAAATGGTGAAAATATCCACCTGCAATAGTATGCACATGGATGTTCTGAGATTCAGTGGCTAATACCACTGGACACATTTGTGAGAAATGTGACATCATGGTGGCAGTTTGGATGTATGAGACCTTGGAGATTGTCATATAAATTGCCAGATTCCAGCAATGTATATGGGGTTTTGCACAGGCAGCATGAATTCCCAACTTCTGATGGCAAGAAATCAGGTCTCAAATTTGAAGGTTGCATAGGACTATACAAGAGGACATGAATGTACACAATAACAAGCAGATTCCAAATTTCACAGGATTCTCCAAAGCAATAGGGGATTTCAAAAGACACCAGTAGGCATTGAGATACTGCAAATCAAATCATCATACTGGTTACCAGGTGAATACCAAGGGACTTACCAAGAACAGTTAAATGCATAAGAGCTGAAATTGTCTCATTTCATTTCAGGAATTTCTTTGCTGTTGATAGTATAAATAGGACTTGCATCATTGTGGTAAAGGATATGTCTTACACATCTGGTTTTCCTGTGCTATACCCACAAGAATGGGGCATAAATCATCCACACTTTCACCATGCTGCTGGAAGGCTGCTGCAATGTGTGCAATAACAGCATTTTGGACACCTGATTTCTGATATTCTCTGACAATGTCTGTCAGATCCTGCTGCAAATCCTTCCTGGTATTAGCCCCATCCTTGACCTGCAAATGGATAAATAAGCATTCAAAGACAATTACACAACCTGTAATCATGAGCTTCAGATTCAAGCATCATCAAAAGAGATAATTTACCAATGCCATGTTCTGCAAGTGCCATTATGGAAGGCTGACTGGACATGGACAATGTAGGGATGGAGATGGAATGGTTGTCATGTTTGATAGATTGCTATGAGCAACCAATTTGACACATCATAGACAGCCAGGGGGGGAAGGAATTGGAACACACCACCTGCAAAGACATCAAGAGTAAACAGGGACCAATGCTAAAGTAGGAAAAACAATGACAAACCAACTGTAAAACATATGGGCAATGAATAAGTGTGGGATGTGAAACAAAACCATACATTCTGGAAATGGGTTAAAATTTGTCAGGATTTTATAAGAATTATGACAACTAACATGCTGAGAGAGATGCAAGAGAAGAAATAAGCAAAAGGCATACTCCATGGGAAGATTGTACTGACATCCTAACACAATGTCTCAGCAATATTGTAGAGGTACATGCACCAATCAGGCTCACCATCTATTTGATGAGAAGGCCTTGTTAAAAACATGCTAAATGGGCAATTTCCACAACACTCACTCTCTAAGACCCACAAGCCAAAAGTGAAATAGTAAGGATTGTGAGTATATATTGTCCTCTAGCAGATACAGAGGCAACACCCACATCCTATGAATGCAAATGCAGTGGGGTAGGAGAGAAAATCACATTCAGCAACAATACAGGGCCACCACATTTTATCTGTCCACTCACATTCTATGCATGCAAGTCAAGCAAAGCATTGGCAAATATAGTCAGCATGCATCCACCACCATCTGCCATGACTCCACTCACATCCTGTGAACCCCAGTCCAACAGGGTGGAAGTAAACCTGTCAGCATGCACCCACCATGATCTTCAATGAGTCAACTTACATTCTGTTAATCATAGTCAAACACAACAGTAACCATCACCTTCAGCATCAATTATACTTGTACTTGCAGAATTTCACACACCTCCTATAACCTAATTAGCCTCTCATTCACCCAAAACACTGGTTGCTTACAAATGGGAACCACATTCCAAGGGCATATGCTAACTCCTCCAAATCAATACAATCAGCCCCCATGTTCATGCTTTGCTTCAGTGTCCTTTCCATAGTTAGCACCCTGTAGAACTTGATTTTTACCACTCACCTCATTATGGCAAATTCCATGCAGAGTCCCAAGTTTGATTGCTGTGATGATATAAGCAGTCCTTGCAGCCCTTCCTCAGTCAAAGCATTTGCTGTGCATTTCAATAGCTCTTCACAATCTGCACTCTCCTGTTCCATGCCTGAAGAGACACATGCCAATCCACAGTTTTTTTATTCACAACTCACTTACCAGTGAGTATTAGGTAGCTTTGAGGTGGAAACTTCATTTCATCCAGCCACTGCTTGATCTTTGCAAGACAGCCATTTTGCAGCTGTGTTTCTATCTCTGGTGCCTCTCTCATTGCATCATCTAGAGTTAACCCCCTGCGCATAAGCTGCTGCACTGCATCAAGATTTAAGGTGTCTGCCTTTGTTAGTAGCACAATCACAGGAACTGTGTGAATCCTCAATCTTTGTATGAAGTGTGATGTGATATTTGTGTGCACATACCATGTCCTGAATCACACTCATTAAAGAACTTCCTTTCAGCAGCCATAACCATCCTATGTCTTTCATTCAATGGAATGCAATACCTAAATCAATCACAAAGACCAGATCAGTGGACTCTCCCAGTGGCACTACTCAGAGATGCCCTTACCAAATTGCATGCAGTTTCTTCTCCAGTTTGGTGGACTTTGCTTGATTCGTAACAAATTTCATCATCTTATCAAACTCTTCCTCGCTCCCCGCCTCAAATCCACATGAGTCGTGGAACACATAGCGCGGGTTACTTTTAAACACTAGCTCATCTTCAATGTTATGGTAGCCACGCTGCATAAGTTCGAACATGAGCACTATGTAATTTCACGTGGTGGCCTTACCCCCAATGAACCCTGCACCGCTCTAGTATCAACCTAGTGGAATGACATGTTGACAAATACAAAACACATAACACACCCACATACCTTCTCTCCGTTCTCATCAAAGATCTCAGGCTGATCCATAGTGTTACAGACCCGCTGTAAAACAGTTGTTTTACCCGCATTTGATCTCCCCATCACGAGAATGCGAAAACGAGGGATGCGATCAATCTGCCTTTTGGCCTCAGTAGGATCTAAGCGATCGTCTAAAGCTGGTGTAGGGTCAACTCAACATGGAGGAGTAGCCTCAGTGGGAATGGGAGCTAGTAACACACCAGCATCGTCACTCGGACGTTGAGAACGCCGCAGCGAACGCCACCAGGAACGAACAGAGCTCGGCGCCATGGCGGTGTGAAGATGAGAAAACAGGTCTTAGGATGTCTTGAGCAGTAAGCGTGCTACGACTTGTAGTGGACGATGGTGAAGTACGAAGGGCAAGGGACTGCGGATTCGAGTGGCGTTGAACGCTCAACGTGTCTGTTTGTAGTGCACAGCCTGACACGTGTGTAAACTACGACCACCAAGTTCTTGTTGGGCTGTCCCATTTCTTCTCGTCGTCTGACCGAGTCCCAGTGATACATTGACGCAGGAAAGACTCGACCATCAGTCCTTCCTTGCCATCTTCGATTGCCCATAGCAATGCCAGGGGAGCTCGTCCCATACTCTCCGCGGTGCCAAGCCAGCTCGGTAGGTACAATGGTTATGGTCCTAGCGAAATATACTACCGATCTTCTCAGCGGCTTTGTGTTTCCGTGCTGACCCCGTCCTTCACACCAGACACTGTAGCACAGTGGAGTTCCCCAGCTCCCCCCTCGAGGATCTGGTTTCCAAAAACATTCTTCCGCAATACTCGGTCGTGCAGTTGGGAAATCCACAAGTAACGTGTCTTTTTGCTAACCCACCCGAGTATTAGCACGAGGGGTATAAACGATCATTGACCTGACCAAGACGCCCGCACAATAACGGGGTCAAGATCTAAACCACGCACCGACGTGCTACGACTACAACCGTTGGTGTCGACAACCACCGTTGAGCATTCTAACTCTACTGTCACCCCCTCACAGTACAGGACCCAAGCTCCGTTTCCAAAATGCATCACCAGTGAGTGCTGCGTTCTGGCTACCGCCTTATCCTCCCCCTTACCTCCACCCGGTTGAGGATCCTATCCTTCACGCTGTGGGTGACTCCGACTGATAGCCATGGAAGTGACAGACCCTCTGGTATAAAATTTGCATGATAATCTAATGGGACACCTATCAACCTGCGTGCCAAAGTCATTCATATGCCACTATGCATCTTTCCAGCTAAACATCAATAGAATACTTTTTAGAGCATCTGCCTCGGTGCTCTCTGGGAGGCGAAGACAGTCCTAAAGCCACAGATACATATCACATTACCCCTTCCCCACATACTCATATTCCCTCCAGAGCGACTTCATGAGAGTCTTACCGTTGGAATCAAGTGCAGGGGCCGTCAGAGCATATCGATTGGATTGTACTCACCGAGCATTTCACATAATGAGAACTGGCCAGGTTCGAGTTCTCGTCGTATCTCTGGTGTCAGGACCCACAACGAGTCGTTCATAGAGTCGATGTATGCCAAGAGGACGTGTCCTGCATACTTTGCGAAAGGCTTTGCCAGAGACTCAGCTTGTGTTTCGGCGACAATCGCGGTGTGCTGTGCTGTATGTGCACATGCGGGACAGTTGTGACAGTAAGTGGGTGAGAACTGGACTAAGAGCACGGCTTTCGGCAATGCCGAGCGGCTGAGACGGTGAAATCCAAGACGGAAGTGTTCCTGCGACGAGTTTACTCTGCTTAGCTCCTAGTTGGAGACGCATGCGCCTGGTTATCAGCAGCAGCCGATGTAAGACGAAGGCTAGATGCGGAAGCGTGTGTGTAACTATGTCACGTCTCAGACGAATGAGAGAGCCTGCTATGGAAAGATGCAGCGAAAAATCGCAAGCGAGGAGACATTGTCGTGGTCGGTGGTTCCCGATAGCATTTTACAGAGCAAAGACCAGATGCTCCCGAGGTCGACAGAACGCACAGCAGCAACCTGCCATTGGATATAAGCATGACATTGACCAAAGCGTTTTAAGTGATGACACTCACTCTGTCAGAACAATGCTTCGCGATCAGCTCCAGATAACAGTAATGCTCTTTCAATTCTGGTGAACCTCCGTATAGGTGAGGTCGATCGGTGAAGGCATGGAGGTAGCACATTACGAATGCTTGGTCCACTTTGAGAGTTCCTGTGGTGACGTGCTACCGAACCCTGTTACTTATAATCAGAATAGGAGCTTGATACAGACCTTGAGGCGTATCAAGCTTTTGCATTGACCTACCGGAAGCCGGGGCTCCTCGATTCCTTCTCCCATCACACCGAGGAGGCGTACAAAACTGTCTACAGACGATTCCCCTGTGGCTTTCGCAACTTGCACATCGAGAGTGTCGAGTGCTACTGTAATGGTGTGATATATTTTACGCTGAAACCGACGTCGAACAACGGATTACCTTCCATCTGTGTCATTCATTGAACACAGTGCTGGGATTGTCCCAAGGTATGCCGAGTCCGAAAATATTGGGAAACATCGAAGCTCTTTGAACAGCAAAGTAATGACATGAGGACACGTCGTTACGTGTTCTGCACCTACCGGCAGTGAGCGACTGTGCAGTGGGCTTCGCATGACTCTAGTCACTAATTTTATGCCTATCGGCGCAACGCTACCAGTTACTGCAAAAGTTAAGCAGGTATACACGCCGCTCAGGATGGTTCACGTACTGTCAATCCTTAGCTGCCCGAAAACGATAATACGTAAGGGCGGGCTTCAACGTGCACTCTCAATATTTGCGAGTGCGTCATTGGTTCCAGATTGTTCCCGCTCCGAAATTAGGATAGGTGTAAAGGTTTCGTATATAATTTTCAGTGCAGATACGGCCGCTGTCACGAGGCTACGTCCACACGTCAGAAGCAACGCCGGACAAGCTTTCCAGGAAGTAAATTCCACCTTCCTGGGGTAGAGTATTCTCGTAAACATTCAATGAGTCGAACACAACAGATCTGGTAAGCACATGTTGCCATAATCCCTGCAACGATGTATCGGAGAATGGTTCAGCAGCAACAAGACTACTCAGTATGCTGGACACCGCTGCTGATGCCTTCGAATTCTGAGCATGGAGATGGGTACTAGGAAGACCAGTAATCGTGCCAGGCGAGAGATGCGTGTAAGAAACTCACAACAGGTGAAACGAGACAAAATTTGACGTCTCTTTTATAAATGCATTGGACGACGGGGTTAATCTTGATGGTGACTGGAGTAAATATTCGGCGTATGCAGGAGATGTCTAATAAAGTTCAATCACTGGGGAATGGAAAGCAAATCCGACAAGATAACTGCCAACTTACGGTGTAATCCAACGCGTTCACTAACTAGCACATACGATACAGGAAAGCACGGAACGGCAGAAGCAGAGTTCTCTGAGCGTTTGCACTCCGGAATCTTCTTCTTCGTCCATGTCCATCTCATACCCAGTATCGGATTTTCGCGGTGAATATCCTTCCTCTTCCCCAAGTGCTCCCTGTCACCCTGATCCACTGTCCCGCCGCCACTCGTGACTCGAAGTGCCGAGCATATAGTGACCTCACCACCAACCGCCCTTTTTACAAGTTCTGTGTGAGAGGCCCAGGTGAAGTACTCGAGAGGTACATACATTAGAAGAAAGTACACTTCGCTTGCACGTACAAACTTAAGGTTGTCAAGTCCGCTAGTCGCGGTAGACCCAGGAAGGAAGCAAGATGAAAACAGAAGGGCAGTCTTCTTTAATGCAAACGACAGGAAGGCACCTGCAGAACCGAAGGATGAGTGCAAGAAACTCTTAGATGAAACAGTCAACCAGCTCGAAACGCACCTCGCATATTGGGCAGCTTCCAAAAATGTGCACTCATCAGAAAAGGGAAAAAATGTCGCGGGGTCAGATGTCATGGTATGAACCCAGTCATCCGTCCGGTTCGCTAGTAGTTCCAAATGAAAGTTCTAATTGAATGGTCAAGGGAAGGCAGTTGAGCCTCTGGAGCACCTCTTCCGGAGCAGCAGCACTGGACATTACAGCAGGACAACGTTTCAGATCAGACACGTTCCGGAGCAATCGAAGGAACGCACTCGATGACACCTATCCGCCGATCGGCTAGGCCGTAAAGTAGGGCATCCCCTAAGTTTTCCCACTTAAGCGCTGCTGACGAGCCGCACCATCGATTTTGAGGGGATAAGTGGCCAATTAAAATATCGATGCTCGTCTTGATAATGACACCAGCCTGAGCTCGTTGGAAGTCACGCGTGTGGGAAACTCGCGCGAAGAATGACCTGACCTATACAGGTGTGGATCAGTTAGCACAGGCAAAGGAATAGTGATGCTGGCCACAAGCATGATATCTAGTACTGATTCTGCAGACGTGCCTTCGTCCCTGAAGACGCCCAGCAACTCCTCAGTTTCATTGCTTCCTAATACGTCACTTTGGCCTAGTGTCCTCACAGGCATTGACGAGCTCGCAACTCGTATCAATCGAACACAGACATCACATAGGCATCACAACGCAGCAGAAGCGACGATGTCATCCGAACCTAGCATATCAGTATCTTGTTGTTCCCTTTCCCGTTACCACTTCTTGCGCTTCTTTCTCTTGCTTTCATCTTCGTGTTGGGGAGCTACTCCTTGCTACTCACCTTGGCCGTGCCGCATGCACTCCCGGGCGATATCCCACCCCAGCTTCCCAACCCCATCCCACATGACTCCTGGATTCTAAGCGTCGGGGACATACGCATATGAGGAGAGGCTATTGAGAACGGTCGACGACACACGGGAAACATGAGTAAATGCAACTGCTAGTGAGTGACACTTCGACCGCGGCGTACCATCATCATTAGCGCGTCCTGCTACTGGTATCTATTCCCCTTCATCAGTTTTTCGTCGCTTACTTCCGCGTCGACATTGACCGCTTTCAGCGGCGTATACTTTCCTCACACACCTAAGTTCTTCCAAAATAGCCTACAGATTGTAAAGGCTTCAAAGCCATAGGGAGAGCTCTAATGAGGGACAAAGGTACAGGAAGGGATCGCGAGGAAACCGGCTCGGGCAGGCTGAGTGAAGACCGGGCGGTAAGAAGGATGAGGATGCACACATGTACCGTATGGGTCTTAGTGAGATAGTTGAGAAGCTCCGAAAGTAGTTGCTGAACAGCATCCGTTGGCCGCATAGAAAGCGGGTGCAGCAACTAGGAAACCGAAGATTAGTCTGTGAGGTACAGCAAGACAAAATCCAGGTAAATTACTACTACTCACACCGACAACAGCGCCCAGTAACCTCTGCGATTTGCCGCCTACTAGTTCACGCTCAACTCTTACCAGCATGTCGAGAACATCTATTGCCAGGGTCACGACCGACAGGTCATTCGATTGACGAACTTGACCCTCACGCTTGACTGTGACCAACGCAAGCTCCCTCACTTCTATCAAAGCAGACTCTGCATCACGACTAGGAGCCGTGTCCCAATCGCCTGACTCAACGTTTGTGCGCGGGGTGCACAAGCACTCCTTTTCGGTCACGTCCGAGCGTCATTCATGCATCCATCCTTTGTGGTCCGGAGTCCACCGTTACGGTATCGCGTAAAAGAACCTTCCAACAGGACTCCCAGGCTTCCATTGCATCAGCGCGCACGGCCTCACGAATGGCCAGGCGAAGAGGGGAAAAGCGTTGTGCGGTGGCGATTTACTGCACAAAGACGTACAGAGAAGAGGCATGGCAGGAGGGAAAGGCCATGGCCCGTGCACACGTGCGAAAGTGCATCCAATGTGTCGAGAGGTTACCAATAGCGAGGACGGAACGTGCTTTTGCTCGACTCAGACCCCAGTTATCTCACACTGAACGTCCTGGTTCCCCATCAAGTCCAGCAGTATACATGGATATAGCTTTACAATGTTATATAAAACCACTAGAATGGTGGCCGGTAGCGATGTCGAGTTACTGAATTCAAGTAATCGTACAACCTTGGTTGCTTCAGTTATGCGCAATCCGAGCTCAGGTAGAGTGAACATCCCGAAAGTGTGGTAGACATCTTCCAACTGCGTCATTCATACACTTGAGCAGGGACACCAGACGTTACTCACATTTATGCGGAATGGCTGGACTTGTAAGGCTTTGGCTAGTGATTATTTGGTATTCTCTTGTTTTGGCTTCTCATTTGTATTTTGTCCACGACGATGTCTGCTATTAGAAGGGTGGCTTCGGAGCGTGTAACGAGGCTGTCAGCCAAGTCGAGTCCATATCATACCGCGGTCACACTCTACGACGCACAGGGCACCCCGGGACCATCCACCACGCGCCGTCAGACCCGCCGTGTCAAACGGGAAAATGTGGAGCTCAATGACCAAGAAGGTTCAGATGATGCGCTCCCAACAGCAGCCAAAAAGAAGAAAGCGAAGGTCGTGAAGACAGCAACATCAGTAACAACGACAGAGACGAAGTCCAGGTCACCCAAGAAACCGAAAGCGATACCCCAGAGTTTAGACGTACCTCATCCGGCCCCGGAGCGATGGAAAGAGGCATACGATGCAATCAAGGAAATGCGCTCAAGGATAACAGCCCCGGTGGATACGATGGGTTGCGACCAGGCGCAATGGAAAGAACAAGACCCAAAGGTACGTCCGTTCATCACGTCCCAGCTGTCCAGCCACCGCGTGAACGACGTCCTACTCACTTCAAAAGTAGAACAGGCGCTTCGCTACACTCATTTCTCTGATGCTTTCATCGCAGACAAAGGACGAGGTCACGGATGCCGCAGTGGCCAAACTACGTATTGCAATAGGCGGCTCACTTTCTGTAGACGCTGTCATAGCTGCAGAGGAGGCTACCGTTTCAGAGGCAATATCCAAGGTCGGATTCTGGAGACGGAAAACACAGTGCGTGTACACTTGCTTCCTTGGATCATGTGCTAAAGATACAATAGGTATATCAAGCAGGCAGCCCAACGACTGCGCGACGACTTTGATTCGGACGTACCGAAGACGGTCGACGAACTGTGTTCGCTACCGGGTGTTGGACCCAAGATGGCGTTTCTCGCACTCCAAGTAGCATGGAACCTGTAAGGTACTCCGACTGCCCCCCATTCATCTGTGTGATAACGTTCCCAAGAAATCTCGGAATTGGGGTGGATGTTCATGTTCATAGAATAACCAACCGACTGGGTTGGCATCAGCGGCCAACGAAGAATCCCGAGGAGACGAGGTGTGTATCGCAAACGACTCTTTCCATAGATCGTATTTCCATTTGGCATGCATCATCCACAGACTGAATCTACAATCCTGGTTACCCAAAGAACTCCACGGCGAGATCAATCATGTGCTTGTTGGTTTTGGACAGGTAAGCAACTTTCTTTGTGGTGCACTGGCGTTGTGAAGCTCATCTTCGCGTACCATGCCTCAGACGGTGTGCCTCCCTGTCGGCCCGAAATGTGACTTGTGCACGTTGAGCTCAGCTGGATTGTGTCCAAGTGCGCAAACCAAGAAATTGTCCAAGCGTGATAGCCGAAACTCAGCGTCTACTAGTCGTGTCGAATTAGACGCTGGACCAAAGGTCGAGATCGAGGTGGAGAACTTATGATGCTTAGGGTGTTACCGCCTCAGCTCAGGAACTTGTGGCTGACAATAGTCGTGACTCACAAGGTCTACGCGACTGACAATTTTCAAGAACGTTTGATTGGAGGACAGGGAATGGGAAATAGGATTTCTACCGGACCCCCAATGTACTGCAAGATTCGCAGCTCGATACCCTACGATATAATCCGTTCACATAACTCAAATTCTAGGTGATAAGATAAGACCTCCGCATGCTGCGGGTCACGCAAGTGCAAGAGAGAAAACTTCGTGATGATTCCCCCTTTTACTTGATTTGATTACTACTGCGTTACATCCCTCGAAGAATTGGCATGCTCGGACTGAGAGAAGATAGCAGTTTCTCACTTACTCCCCAAGCCAGTTTTCAAAGCTGCTGGTCGATATCGTGCCCACTCCGCATTTGGTGACATCTACCCTCATTCTCCGCTGAGTTCTTGTGCTAACGCCCAAGTTCTGACTTCCAGTAGATCTACTGTTGATGATAACTTCCCGGATATCCACTTGGCTCTTCTCCAGGTCACTCCTACCGGGGAAGTCATTTCCCTGAGGTCTCCGTTCCCCGGAAATGTGGTGATCGGAGACAGAATGCCCCTGTGGAGTGATTCTGACCATGGAATATTACAGAGAACGTCGGATACGAAATCCAGGCAGCTTCGCAAGTAGCTGGCAAAACAATATTGCAGAATCAATATGCGATAGCTCCACTGACCAGTCAAGGACACGCAGTGACGGTGCAGCGTTTCGGATGGGTTCCAAAGTTGAATCTTCCTCGAACGGTCCGAGGTTCTTAATTAGGTGGGCGCCAGCTTTGAGCGGCCCTAATGCCCGCCAAACATTCTTCCTCTATGCTGGCACTGTAGACGACAGCACCCAACCGCTGACTGCTCTGTTCACCATCCGCGAGGCTTGGCTCCCACAACCGCTCCTTTTCCACTCGTATGATCCTGGAGCGCACTGTGAAAAAGAGGGCACACGCCAAGGTTCAGAAATGAAAAATTCTCGGTAAAGCTAATGAATGGCCAGATGCTACTGCTGTCCGCAGACGAGAACGAAGTTCCGTTATGTGACAAGGGCAGCCTTGAGTGCCGGACGATGCTGGCTATCGTAATCACCTCCGATGAGGGTTAACTTCTCGAAAATCTCCGGGATGAGAGTGTAGGGCACGTAAGTTTTGCGATATCGAAGACACGATCTCATACTTCAGGCGGAACCCTCATACGTAGCTGGGTAGCCATCGTGTGGAATGCTTGTCAGATCCTAGATTACTTGATAGGATGGTCGCCACGACAAGCACCTTTCTGCTATAGTTCCCAGCGCTTGTCGCTCCTCCCGCGCCCGCCTGCATTCCACGATGAGATTCAATGCGAAGTCAACGTTCAACGCGTACCTGTGTCCGTTGGCGTCGATGCTAGAAGGTATGTCTCTGCCTTCTTTTATTATCACGGTTCGTTTCTGATTGATGATTAGTCCTTCTGTGTCTGTTCGTCAGTTCACCGCTATCTTGTATGCTCGATCCGGCTCAAAACAGAGATGCAGGTTCTTGGTCTTTTTCTTCTTAGCATTGTCCTGCTCGTGTTCTCTGTTCTCTTGTTCACCAGTGCATTGTACCGTTACAAGATCAGTGCGTGCACGCTCAGTGGATCTCCCATTCGTTGTTTCCTGCACCTAGCTTTGGTCGTAGGGTGCATTTCGGCCTTGGGGTTGGGCTCAGGAAATTTCGTGAACGTCATACTGCTTTCCGCTTTTACCTATTTATATGATAGCGGTGGTGGGGGTACTGATGTCATCCTTTTTTTTAAAGCCGTACTCGATGGAAACACGCTAGTCATCACGCAAGCTGAGCCGCAAACATCAGACTTCGCTCAGGACAGATTCGTCCTGGATCCGAACAGGACTACAGTCACCACACTGGGATTAAGGTTCTCTACGGCGGTGTCAAACGACCCATGTCATGCGCGTTCTTGCAGCACAAGTCGGAACCCGAATCCCTTGCTGAACGTTCCAAGTGCTCTGTGAGTTCTGGACAGATTGCGAAATGGCTGCCAGCCTCTGAAAGGTATGGACCGTAGAATTGGGTCGCGGACCTTGTGGAAGGGAAGAGATCCGGAATCTGGAGATGATCAGAGTGAACGCCAGAGTTCAGCGAGCACATTTGTACGAGGAACAGAGACGCCGAGGAAGGCCCGTAGGATTGAATCTGCGTTCAAGGCTAAGCTGTGAGAAATACCCATACCTTGTGAGAGCTGCTATGCGTGTGAAAGTGTTCCGCCTATGCCAGCCATTGGCGACCTGCGTATGACTTTATCTGGAGTTGGGATCAAGGTCTGATAAAATTATACACTGCCATGAGGAGAGGATTGAGAGCACGTGAAAAGTTAAACACATAGTTTCCCTGAAAGTTTCCAAGAGTCAACACATCCGGGAAGTCTACAATCCTTCAACTTGATCCTCCAACCAAGCCCAAAGTTCCTTTCCAAGCTGCGGGTCCTGAGTGTCAGCGCGAGGCGTCGCTATCCTTGCCCATGGGATCAAATACTGGAGATGAAGGCAGTGAGACTCCAAGGTGACGCAAGAGTGATACAAAATCGTACCTTTCCACTAAGATTGACGGCATCTGGGAACGTCCCCGCATACAATTGCGTCAATGCACCATACGATACATCATAAAGAACCCTGTTCTATGTTCAAAATAGCGCTAAGAGAACCAGCCACCTGTAGCGCATAAAGCAAGTGGTGCGTACAAAGAACGGCTGGAGGAACCAGCTGTGGTGGCGTTGTAGTTCTGTCCGGATTGGCCCTGTCGATGAAGTATGATGTCAGCGTTGCTGAACACGCAGGCCACCGCAGTTGAACAGACCTGGGTTAACGGCTATTGACACGATACCTTGATCCCGATACCTCCTGTTGAGTTCTGAGGAAAAAACGATGTTTCCCTGCACGACGCATATGGTGAGCTCAGTTTAAGACCCGCAACTATCGGATCTCATGCATACGAATTTACTCTGACTATACAGCGTGTACGAGGATGTCGCTCTACGTTTCGGAGTATCCTTGAACGTGTCGAAACCAAGCCCACCGCGCCAGTGGGCATTGGATGAAACGTTGATGACGCGCACCGTACCACCGGGAGATGACTTTGCAGTGGAGAGAAGGACGGGTAAGAGTAGTTTGGTCAGGTAGAAATGACCCAAAACATTGGTCCCGAATTGAAGGTCGTAGCCGTCCGCCGTGATCATGTCAACCGGCGGATGCATGACTCCTCTAATAGGGAGATCGTGAGCCTGCTGTACGTTACGACTCTAATGTCCTGCACGTACGCGTTGTTGTAGAGGATATGAAGCTGAGCCTCCTTGCTGTTCAAGACCGTAAGTGACCGTCAAAACACCAAAGATATATGCACCTCGCAAACTCTTCGGCAGACTGTTTGATAGATCGAAGGTTGGCCAGATCAAGCTGAAGGAGATGCGCCTCGCGTCCCGTCTGCTCCTTGAGCTCGTCAAGTGCTGCCTTACCCTTGGTAGCATCCCTGCACGCAATCCACACTTTTGCATTCTTCGCGAGCATAACCTATGGTAGAAGAGCAACATATAAGTGAAAGATGACAGGGGCAGTGGAGAAAACCAACCCTAGCGGTTTCTTTGCCAATGCCAACATTTGCCCCGGTGACGAGCACCACCTTACCAGTTAAGTCTGGGATATTGTCTACGGTGACGGTGGGTGGAGGGGGGAATAAGACCTCGCGTGCGGAGGAGTATGAGTTACCCATGGTGTCTGGGAGACTCCCTTTCGGAACGGGGCCAACTTAGATATGGTTCTCCTCTCCCACAAAATGCTGCACAGGGAGATGCCTGAGGCCGAATGTGTCTTATCTGTCGCGCAATCGCAGCGTCTCGCACTAACCCACGGCGCAGCACGTTGCCTTAACTATGCATCGCTTTACGCTCAAGCTTGATTGACAAGTTGGACGTTTACTGCTAACTAGCGAGCCTGCGATCTTGGACGCAGTCAACAGGGCCTTTGTAGTGATCATGTGAACATTAGATAATCCAAGGCGTGTTCAAACTTTGGTTCTTCAACTTTCGTCATCTTTTTTTTTTTTTTTTTTTTTAGGTAGGAGGAAAACTCATAAGTGAGTACCAGTTGTCAACTCCAGTGATGTCAGGTTGGGCTACCCATGCTAGGAAACAGCGTTGTGCTCAAGGCATCAAAGGGGCCTGACTGACTAAAAACCTCCCAGTCAATAACACAGACCCTGACAAGGGGACTGCTGACTGCACAGGGAGCCAATCCAGAGGGGTCAAAACAGCCATATGCCATGCTTCCTGGTGCACCTTTGCCACCCTCTTTGGGGGATTACCTCTGATTTGTATACAAAGGTGTCAGGATTAAGTGAGGTGGCTGGCTGAATATCTATGCCAACAGAAACCTCCTGCAGCAGGGCCTAGACCAAACAACTCCCTCTAGTGCCCCAGGGTTGTACCCCCAGCCATGCATACCTCTAAGTTTTCACTGATTGTTTTTAGTGTCAGCTCAGGGAAGCTTGATGCCCATCCTTTGGATGGAGGGGGTGGACTAGTTTCACTTTGAACACCTGACAGGAATTTCACCCATATAACTCACTTCTTAGGCAGTGGGGCAGCCACCACACCAAGCCTCTGGACCTCATCAAGGTCTAGTGAGGGGAAAGTCCATCTCCCACCAGAGGACTTTCGTCGTCTTTCATCTGAGCACACTTCATTCTTGCCCATATACTCATTATTTCTTTGCTCTCCCACTCACCTCCCTTTCACATCTTAGCATGTTCGGTCGGTCTTGCTATTGTGCAGAGGAACGGGAACGGGACAAAGAGCTAGGCAGAACACTTGCCTTTGTTTATCAGAACAGTAGTAGCGTTTGAGGAAGTTTGGTAAGCTTGTAAGCGGGGCTCAGTTGTTGAGTAGACAAGTGAAAGAAAGGAAGTGAATTCCAATGATGATTGGGGAAGAAATCCCCGAGTTTATATACATGAGTAGGTACGCACGGACCAAGAGTGTAAAAGGAAACTACTACTCAGTATAGTAAAGAACTGCGTAGAAGGTCATGGAATATGACGTATGATATGACATATCAGTGACGTCATTGTGGAGCTGATTGCTAAGGAATGTCATGTGATGAACAACGTGTTGATACACATGTAAGTCTGGATCAATCTAGACGTCGGAACATATAGTAATATTTCCAACACTCCCCCTCGCTCTAGAATGGGAGTGTAACAAGTCCCATCGACGAGCGATTCGTCTCATATTTTTGCCACGTCAAAGATTTCGTAAGACCGTCTGCTTTTTGTTTGTCAGTTTGAACATATTCAATACTGAACAAATTGTCTTGAACACATTTGCGAACGAAGTGCCATTGGACGTCAATATGTTTGGAATGACCATCCGATACAGGATTCTCAGCTATGAAGCAAGCTCCCATATTATCGCAGTAAAGAATAGTTTTCTCGGTCTTGAGTTTGAGTTCATCAAATAGCATTGAAAGCCATTTGATTTGATGTGCAGCATCACAGAGAGCCATATATTCGGCTTCTGTAGAGGAGAGCGTGATTGTCTTCTGTTTACGAGAGCGCCAAGAGATAAGGGATGATCCGAGGAACATTGCATAACCGGTGGTAGAATGACGTGTGTCTTTATTGGAAGCCCAGTCAGAATCCGTGAAGCCATAAATTCGAGATTCAAGTCCCGAATAATATAAGGCCAATTTTGGAGTAGATGCAATATAGCGAACTATATGCAAGGCCTTGTTACGATGATCTTCGGTAGGATTCGCCATATACTGTGACATGCGAATAACCACATAGGCGATATCGGGACAAGTACCGAGAGCCATATAGAGTAATGACCCAATGATAGACTGGTACTGTGACCGAAGAGAAGATGTGGCTTGATAGTCTGATGGTGCTTTTTCCGGTTGATATCCCGAAGGTAATGGAGTGCGAACATTTCGAGCATTCTCCATATTAAATCTTTTGATAACCTTCTTGACATATGGGATTTGATCAAGATAAAGTTCCTTTTTGGATCGATCACGGTGAATTTGAATGCCAAGGTATTCCTTGACTTCACCAAGATCATGAGATTCCCATTTCTTCATGAATTGATCTTTCTTGGTTTTGAGAAGATGTTTGTCCGATCCTAGAAAGAGTCCATCGTCGACATAGACGAGAAAAATGACGATTCCAGCTTTGGAGGTATGGATGTAGATTCCAGCATCCACTTTTGAACGTATATAGCCCATTGAAAGTAAAGATTGATGAAGGGCTTTATTCCATGCCAGTGCAGCTTGCTTTAAGCCATAAAGGGCTCGAAGCAACCGATAAACCTTGTGTTCCTGACCCGAAACTTTGAAACCTTCTGGTTGCTCCATATAAATTTCTTCATTGAGGTTGCCATATAAGAAGGCAGTTTTGACATCCAGTGCTTCTGTCTCCCAGTTTCTTTGGGCAGTGAATGCAAGTAAGATCCGCACAGTTTCAAAACGAGCGACTGGAGAGAAGGTATCTTCAAAGCCGGTACCAAATTCTTGTGTGAAGCCTTTAGCCACAAGACGAGCTTTATAACGACCATCGCTTTTGATAGCGAAAACCCATCGACACTTGACTGGTTTCCGATCTCTTGGAGGATCCACCAAAGTCCAAACTTGTCTTTCTTCAATAGATTTTAATTCGTCCTTCATTGCATTAAACCATTTCTTTTGCAAATCAGGAGATAACTTTAGCACATCTTTATAGTGTTCCGGTGATTCTTTAACCCTGGCAGCCAATGCAAACTCGAAAGGATGCATTTCAGGACCTGGCATTTGAGCATGTTGGTCTGGCATGCCTTTAGGAGAATCAGGAGTATCTGGAAGTGGAGTGAGTGGTGAACCAGGAGAAGGAGGTGTTGTTCCTTGTGGATGTTCAGTCCACTGACGAGGAACTGCAGGAGGAACAAGAACTGGAGGAAGCCTCGGAGAAGGAGGTCTTCTTTCCTCTGCATATCTTCTAATATCTTCTCTGGATTGTTGAGCATGTCACTCAGCATTATGAATCCACTCTTGTGCTTGATCTCGATTTCTTTGAATATCTCGTTCAATATCAACTGGAGGTCTATCTCCATAGAGGTTTCCGGGACGAGATACAGGTATAAAACAACGTTTAGGACGAGGTTCTCTGTCATCTTGAGGAGGATGAGCTCTGCGAACATTGCACGAGTCTCCTTGAACAGGTGTAGGTTCATGAGGATGTCTAAGATGACGAGGGTCGACTGGTGGTACAGCAGCAGGTGCTCTTCTTTGTTGACCTCTATTAGTGTTTTGGTCCAGAGGTCTCTGCTGTGGGTTTTGTTGTGGAGGAGTATTAGGACAAGGTGGTTGGCAGTGATGAGGCACCTGTTGGATCTGATCAGGATCCGGGAATGAGTGTAGGCTTTCAGAGTCGGAAGTATCTGAATCATGATCGTCTTCGGTATCAGGGTCAAAGGTTTCGGATTTGTTTTGACCAGAGCAGAAAGGAAAAGAGTCTTCTACGAATTTTGCAGTACGAGAAAGAATAATCTTCTGTCCATGAAGGAACCGATATCCTTTGGTATTTGGTTCATAGCCCAAAAATACCATTTCGACTGCATGAGGTTCCAATTTATCTTTTCGTTGTTCTTTGGGAACCCATACAAAGGCTTTGCAGCCAAAGGTGCGGAAATAGGTAATATCCGGGACTTTTCCTAAGAAGAGTTCAACCAGAGTCTTGAAAGTAATCCTTTTTAAAGGAGTACGATTGTACACATGAAGTGCACAGTCAAAAGCAAAGTTCCAGAAGCATTTTGGAACACAAGCATGGTGTCGAATGGTCCCAGCTTTCTCGGAAATAGTCCGATTAAAGCGTTCTGCTCGACCATTTTGCTGTGGTTGGTCGGCAATAGATAAGTAATGGGTAATTCCGCGCGAAGAAAGGAGCACTTTGAAAGTTTGACCCATAAATTCTCCCCCTCGATCCGAATGGAGCGCAAGAAGATGATGTCCAGTAGTATTTTGCATAGACACCATCCAGTTGGCAAAAGCAGTATAAGTGTTGGATTTGCTGCGAAGGTAGAGACAAAAACCGTAGGACGAAAAATCATCCAAGAGGGTTAGGATGTATTTAGACCGATAGTAAGATTCGACAGGTAATTCGAGAAGGTCAGCATGAACCAACTCGAGTGGTTTAGTAGCACGTTTCCAAGATGGTTTAAAAGCTTCGGAAGAAAGTTTTCCTTGAGCACAACCTTTACAAGAGGTAGCCTCCCCCTGTATTTGTATATCTTGTTTAAGACCTAATCGGCGAATATGTCTGAGAACTGCTTGTGCAGGGTGACACATGCAATTATGCCAAAGAGACTCTTGTGATTCCTTAACCAGAGGGCAAAGGACCCCAAAAGCAGTGGTAGGTGGAAGCAGTACGCCCACAAACCAATGAAGAGGTGAAGTCGGAGAAGCTATTTTTGCTTCAAGGACAATCCGGCCATCTGGTGCTCTGATAGTCTTGCCTGTAAATGTCGCTGTGCTCCTATACCTGTTATTGAGGAGCGCATTTCGAGAACATAGTCGCTTTGAGAACAAAGGACTGTAAACAACATTATGTAGTGGAAGGTTACTGCCATTTTCTAGGCGAATAACCACTGTTCCTTGACCGAGTAGTTGAACCTTTTTAGTGCCTGCAGTAGAGGCCAAAGGTGGATTTTTAAACTCTCGAAAGGTCAAGAAATCAGTTTTAAATGGAGTCACATGATGTGATGCTCCTGAATCCAACATCCATAATGACTCACCCTTTGGAAGGTTCTTTTTAAGATTCGCATATGACTTATAGTCACCAAAAGGGTAACAGTCATAAGAATCGAAGGCATGACCATCATATTGTGAGGGTAAATACCCAGACGCAGATATGTTGGGATCATACTCGATGTCTGGATTATGCT